TCTCTCTGTCCCTGTGTCTCTCTCTGTCCCTGTGTCTCTCTCTCTGTCCCTGTGTCTCTCTCTCTGTCCCTGTGTCTCTCTGTCCCTGTCTCTCTCTCTCACTCTTCCTGTCTCTCTCTGTCCCTGTCTCTCTCTCTCTGTCCCTGTCTCTCTCTCTCTGTCCCTGTCTCTCTCACTCTGTCCCTGTCTTTCTCTGTCCCTGTCTTTCTCTGTCCCTGTCTTTCTCTGTCCCTGTGTCTCTCTCTGTCCCTGTCTCCCTCTGTCCCTGTGTCTCTCTGTCCCTGTCTCACTCGGTCCCTGTCTCCCTCTCTGTCCCTGTGTTTCTCTGTCCCTGTCTCTCTCTGTCCCTGTGTCTCTCTCTATCCCTGTGTCTCTCTCTGTACCTGTGTCTCTCTCTGTCCCTGTGTCTCTCTGTCCCTCTTTGTCTCTCTCACTCTCTCTGTCCCTCTCTCTCTCCCTGTCCCTCTCTCTGTCCCTGTCTCTCTCTCTTCCTGTCTCTCTCTGTCCCTGTCTCTCTCTCTCTGAGCCTGTGTCTCTCTCTCTGTCCCTGTCTCTCTCTCCCTGTCCCTGTCTGTCTCTCTCTGTCCCTGTCTCTCTGTCTGTCCCTGTGTCTCTTTCTCTGTCCCTGTCTTTCTCTGTCCCTGTGTCTCTCTCAGTCCCTCTCTGTCTCTCTCTGTCTCCCTGTCCCTGTCTCTCTCTCCCTGTCCCTGTCTCTCTCGGTCCCTGTCTCTCTCTCGGTCCCTGTCTCTCTCTCGGTCCCTGTCTCTCTCTCTGTCCCGGTGTCTCTCTGTCCCTGTGTCTCTGTCTGTCCCGGTGTCTCTCTGTCCCTGTGTGTGTCTGTCTCTCTCTCACTCTCTCTGCCTCTGCCCCTGTGACTCTCTGTCCCTATGTCTCTCTGACCCTGTCTCTCTCTCTGTCCCTGTCTCTCTCTCTGTCCCTGTGGCTCTCTGTCCCTGTCTCTCTCTCTGTCCCTGTCTCTCTCTCTGTCCCTGTCTTTCTCTGTCCCTGTGTCTCTCTGTCCCTCTCTGTCTCTCTCTGTCTCTCTCTGTCTCCCTGTCTCTCTCTCTCTCCCTGTCTCTCTCTCTCTCCCTGTCCCTCTCTCTGTCCCTGTCCCTCTCTCTGTCCCTGTGTCTCCCTGTCCCTGTCTCTCTCTCTCTCTCTCTCTGTCCCTGTGTCTCCCTGTCCCTGTCTCTCTCTCTGTCCCTGTCTCTCTCTCTGTCCCTGTGTCTCTCTGTCCCTGTCTCTCTCTGTCCCTGTGTCTCTCTGTCCCTCTGTCTCTCTGTCCCTCTCTGTCTCTCTCTGTCTCCCTGTCCCTGTCTCTCTCTCTGTCCCTGTCTCCCTCTGTCCCTGTCTCTCTCTCTGTCTCTCACTCTCTCTCTGTCCCTGTGTCTCTCTCTGTCCCTGTGTCTCTCTCTGTCCC